CAGTTTCTACACTCCAGACTTCTCACCTTTACTACTTCCTTCACCACTTCCTACGTCACGGACCTCAAGCTAGTGTTGTCATTTGATTATATTTATGATCCATACCACCGTTTGTGTTCTAATATCTGTGGAATAATGCTATCAGCTATTTATTTATCTACTGCATTCAAAAGTCAACAGCTGATGATATGTCTTTGTTTATGTGTCAAATACTGCTTACATAAGGATTACATTGAAACTTTGAGACCCAGTGGGGCGGATTCCTGAGAGACTTTTTTAACGCCATATAGATGTTGGCACTCACCGATATGGTCTTTATCACCATGCAAAATTTGAAAACGATTGATTCAGCCGTTTAGGAGGAGTTTGCGTATTACGAAATGCATAAAAGTCTACGTATAAGAGCTTCGCTCAATGAAGACGTAAACAAACAAAAAACTTCAATTAAAACTTAAATGATGTTGTATTGTAAATTACGCTAAATAGTATCTTAAGTCATTATTATTGCTCAAAGGAGTGTTACAGAGATACTAATCACCATTGTAACACTTACCCCTCCTCATACACAGTCACTTAGTTGTTACTTTACGAAGGATTGAACCTGTTAACGTCAAAAGAGTCAAAGACCCCAAGCACTTGAGTTTCAAGACCTTCAGAGCAGTTTATGTTTGGAACTCGGCACAAAGCTTCGATAACTTCTAATAATAGCCGGAGAATATTCCCAGTTTGATCCAGACAGTTCATAGTAGAGCAGGTGACGCAATTCATTGTCATGATCTACTGTAGAAATCATATTTATTGCTATTTATTTATTGTTAGAAAATTTACTATTTTTAAACATAGTAATTCACCTCAAACCGCCAAATTCATATATATTATATATATATATATATATATGAATTTGAACGGATGGTATTTTTGGCCTCTAGGGACCTCAAAACGAAAAAAAAAAATGGTCCCGGGTCCAGGTCTTACCATGAGTACTACGGTAATAGCTTATTCCCTATATGGGAAATTCGCTTAAAGACCAGAAGTTTGACTTTTTAACGAGGAAAACTTAACAGATTCCTATATTGAATTCTCACCCCGTTGCTAAACACAAAACTACTACTGTACTAACAGTACTACGTTCACAAAGTTTAGGCGGTTTGAGGTGAATTACCCCCAAGACTTGTTTCTGCTTAATGTATTAGTCAGCTGATTAACATTTTGACAAATTTCAGCTGTTCAGCTAGTTTTGAATGGTAGGATCAAGACGTGGAGGGGATAGATTAAAAGATATCTTCCCCTAAAACTGCATACATTTTTTGAACGGAGTAAACTCTGTAGTACAATAAACGAGAGTTTCTTTTCCAGCCTCTAAATATTTTCACACTTCCTGCTTCTGATTAAACACCCCAGTTTTCTACTGAACCCGAAACAACATGTTTTAATCACATGTTCGTATCAGCTGTTATCTCAAAGTGTCTCCCATTTGGTCTCCACTCGAAGGTGCCTCAACAATGTAATGTTGTCTGAGGTGATGTTTACTCAGATATTGCCGATATTGGATATTTTCGTACTTATGAACATGTCCCGAAAATTTGTCAAGATTGTGTGCCATTTATCGAGATAGATAGTGTTAGCACATGTCTAAGCTAATGACAGTCCTTGATGGACTTGTATGGACGGACATAAATTGGAAAGCCTAGAAAACGTAATTGAACTATGCAAAAATTTAAATTGCAAATTGCATTACACAAAACAACTTAGTTTTACCATCAATATACTTTCTTACTTACTTATTCTTAATTTATTACTTTCTTTCATAAAACCTTTCTTTATGTGTATGTTATACTAACGGATATGAGGACAATTTTTTGATGGTAGAAGAAAGAAGTGGACTTGTAGTATCCAGAGAGTAGTTTATAATTAGCAAATTTGTATCGTGTCACCTCATTTTTCAAAGGTAATTAGCGAAAAAGTAACGAGGTAGCCTAATCCATGACTATCCCTACTTGATTGCACAAGATTATGACTCGGATAACAAAATGATAGTATGCTGGAGTTTTTTTTTACATTTATAAGTTTTATTTCCCAGAAAATTTAATTTTTCAGTAGAACCCTTGCTAAATAGTTTAACAGGAGTTTTCTCGTCCTCATGGAACAGCTGGAGTATATTTAATTATTAGTTCTGTCCGGTGCACTGTAGAGGGTTTCACATTTTTTTATTTTTATTTCAGTCATTTAAACGATGGGTAATCTTAAACAATAACTCGTCTCCTAGTTATATAACCAATCAGTAAAGCACAACTCATGAAATTGACCCTAAAATAAAAGAAACACAATTTCGTCGACACTAGCGATCAGTGTCACCGGACATGAACTAGACACGTAAAACGAGCTTCAAATTTGCAATGGGATGAGAAGGGTTTAACCCAACGATGTTTACATTAACGCGTTTTTATTCCGACTTCTTGTGATCTACGATCATTTCTCATTCTCTCAATAAGTTTCAATACGAGACAATTATTCGAAAAATGCCTAATTTTATGGGAGTACCCTAATAACAGACCAAATTTGACTCAAAATATTGGCCTTGTGCGAATTAAAATGTATCCATAATCATATTCAAACTGCGAATTATTTAGTCAACTAGATGAGTCCTCCGTCAAAGTTCATTGTTGGCCACAGTAAGTTAAATGTTTAAAACACTATTGTATCACTTACACTTAACTAACCAGTGGTGCAAGATATGTGTAATTATCCTGTCATCAACAAATTATTGACAACTTGGAGATCTCATAAGGCATAGAAGTAATTTATTGTTATCTTCTCGAGTTGGATTGTTGAATAAATATAATTAAGTTAAGTACATTCAAAATAGCTTTTAGTACAACTCATTGTAAACATATTTCAAGAGGGTAGTTAACAACAAAACAATGCAAAGTAGCCATTTTACGATGTGAATGTATTTTGTATTTTCAACTATTTGTAATCATTGCAACCTTACTTGCGAGTGAACTATAAGTAGTTTCATCAGTGAAGTCTGTCAGCGAGCAACAATGTGTTAACTAACAGCTGTCTAAAATGTCAATTGATTGATTAAAGACATAGACACCCGCCGAGATACAACATGCTGAGTTATGTTGGTTGGGTTAGCTTCAAACAGAGAACGAAATAACTGTAGGTATTCTGCTCTACGCACCGTATTATTCCCCGCTGCAACACACTTACTAAAATGGCTATAAATCCGCCTAAAATGCTAAATTTGCAATCCTAAAGCTTTTTCTTTTTTAACACCAGCAAGCAAAACTTGAACTAATAATAGCAGTGTATTTATCACGCTCTTGAATGAGTAACCTCTTGAAAATGCTTTATGGAACGTAAAACGGGAATACAATCCAAAGGAAGTTTATTAATTTATTAGTCTTTAACAAAAATGTGTTACTGATAGAGTCAATAGGTTTATTGGATAAAAATAAGTGGATAATAGTCTAAGAGTATGGATGAAAAAAATGTAATTACTTCTTTGTATCATATGTGCGTATATGATACGGTACAATATTTTGAGAAGGAAAATTCAGATTTTTGTAAAAATTGTAGTTGTTTTGTGATCCTAATATAAATTTGGATCTGATTATTTCAAACTAAATATTATATTTTACTTGTGATCTCAGTAAAAAAGTCTGTATTATAATTGCAAATATTTTTCTTACTCAGAGAAAACGAGTTAAGTTATTATTTATTCCTGATACAAACTAAAATGCACAGGTTATACTTCATTCACTGTGGCTATAGAGTCACAATGCAGTGCATTGGGAGTGTACGATTTTTTAAGTTACCGGTACCCAAAAACCATGAATTAATACTATAAATTACTATAAGTTCCATTCGTTTTTAATTTACAAATTATGTAAACCCGTCCATTCATTGTTACATGAAACAGAATTAAAACCTCTCACATAGTAAAACCATAAAAATAATTTTAATGTTAAACGCTTTTCTAAAACTATAAAATTGCGATCGAAGTTCACCCTGTACAATTTGCAAAATCAATAACAAGTTTTGCACTGATAACCCACAATTAAACACTAGTTTCCTTATCGTCAAGAAGCACAATTATTATAAGATCAGGGTCAGTGGCTATCGGTAGGTCAGTTCGTTTAGGAACTCTTTGTCAATTTATTAGTGTTTTTCTTCTGTTCTCTGCTGTGTTATATATTGTACCTTTTTTTAAACTGTTCGATGACTGTTCATGTAGATCCCCTGATATGGCAATTGATTTAGAACAACGCTACTAAAACACTTCTTTTTTTAAATTATTTTGGAGTTTCCAGTATTTCCAATAATCCATTTCATCATCATCGAATAAATAAACGTATTAAATTGTTGATTTGTTTCAATCAGATGTGTGGCAATCTTAAATTAAATGTATTTTAAAAGTGTTGACAAGGTAAAAGTAAACAAGTAACTATAGTATTTTTTCGTTGCCATAAGTACAACAAACTACATTTATTTCCCAAAGCCCCACGTCAACGTTTTGAGGATATCGTAAGCCGGGAACCTCCAAGCACCCCGAAGCACTCTATGTTTACCATGTCACATCCGAGGACCTAGTTGAAAATCGTAAAAAATATACTAAACAGGCTATAAAGATGGAGAATAACAAGAAAAAACCAGCAGATACATCCGAGGTCTCGAGTGCAAGACCTCGTTTGTGCGGTGAGTCCTCGGAAGTGCGCTTGAGGTTTGTGTCAGGACCTCGCTTGTGCGCCGCTACAAACTCACATCGAGCTTACAAAGTTAAGAAGTAAATTATTAGTTGGTCTCCATGACGTAAAAAGAAAAACATCCTATTACATTAGCTCTGTTTACATTCCAAGTCAATTTTAGTTTGTCACACAGTTAATTGAATTTAATCAGATTTTAGTCTATCTCATCAATGTGCCTCCCATTGCGAAGCACGTCTAAAACCACTACTTTAGTAACATAATTAAATAACCTGATTGAAAACTCACGTCGTATTTCGGCAATGTCGCTGTCATCACTCAGACTGGAGGCTACGGACTGGCGATGTCGATGCATATCTCCGCCTGACTATGGCGATGGCGTGGACACCCGCGCCAAAACACTGATACCCTATCAGTCATCTGATAACACCCGTGGATCGGCGCGGTCGTGAAATCTAGTAGGCCGTGGGAAAAACATAGCTGTTGTCACGTGATTGTTGAGAGAGGAAGAAGAAAAGGAAGTCAGTACAATGTCTAGCAGCGGGAAGAGCCTCATGCAAGATTCACATTCGATGGCAATAAAGAACAAAATTTTGATTTGATTCATTTGGCGGCATAAAAACAGGATCTAGCGGGTTTGGAATAAAAAAAACTTTAGAAACCAAGAATGCTATGACAAATATTTCAAATTTACAAAATATTGTTTCAACTACATTTGCATGACTATTTAAAAAGTGCGAAAACACATTAACGTCCATAATAACCAAGAACACGTTTCTATAAAAAATAAACTTGACGTTACACACAACTCATTTCAAAACCATTAAACACGTAAATATATCAATTCCGAACAAAACATTTCAAGATGTATTATCGACCTGAAAAACATGTTCACATACCGGTAGTTAATTATTTTCTAAACATAATAAAATAAAACTAAGCTCTATAAAACTCATAGACGACAAACCATATCACTACAAATAGTTAATTAGTTGCTAAGTTTTGATTTAAATAACACGTCATGTCACCGAAATCACGTGATAAGTCACTCCTCACAGCACAGACTACCGAGTAAATATGCCGAGGCTTGTATTTGAACGCAAGACCTTTGGTCTTGACATGACCCGAAGATAAATCATAGCAAACATGATTATGCTGAATTTATCTTCTATTTGACTTTTTACACGCTTCTTTTCTTTTTTGCGCTGTCTCATAAAAATAAGGTCTTTCTTTGAAAACTTGGCAATCCAAAAAATATGGTTGTACAGAATAACAATAAAACAGTATTTTTTGGCAAGGTGATACTTGTTGTGTTTTTCTTTTTTTTACTATCGGTATGTCATAGTTATACAGTGAAAGCCCTTTGATTCGGAGGTATTTATTTATATATATATATATATTTCATTAATTACAATGGTTTTTTTTCAAGTCAATTTAACACTAAAAGTTATATTACAACAATAAAACTCTTGGTTTTCTTATTTTCGATTTAAATCTCCACAAAATGTATTTGTACAATACAAACCATCCACATAGTTTTTTTTTTTTTTTTTTTTTTTTTTTTTTTTTTTATTGGATTCATTTGAGCAAATTTCCCATATAGGGAATAAGCGATTGCCGTAGTACTCATGGTAAGACCTGAATCCGGGACCGATTTACTTTTTCGTTTTGAGGTCTAGAGCTCAAAAACACCAACTGTTCAAATTCATATCTATTCAGATATTGGAAAATGCATTTATTTCATACTAAACTATTAAAATTTTACAAAAAAAAACTTTTACCCTCCCTGTTGCAGCAAACCTAAAGTACTTGTTAAACTAATGCTATTTAAATAGGGAATAAATGTGATATTTTTAAGGAGACGCTTTAGTGTAAATCCAATTAGGCAAATGGAAATTCGCTTAGTCTGTAGGTTTGCTGCGGTGGGGGTATTAATGTTCTACTTGTCATTTATTTTATTCTATATCTCAGACTGAATTTATACTATCATGGACATCGCACATGAGTAGTACTATATTTTATTTTTAACCTCTTGAACAAATGACACACCTCGAGCAATGCTCGGTCCCCGGGACCTACATATTACATACAGACAGGCAGACAGATATAGCTCGTTTTATAATATAGGATATTTCCAACCTTTGATTTAAATCCTTCCGCTGAACTTCAATACTAGCCTACAGACATACAAGTAGACAGACATAGGTAGACAGACATACAGGTAGACAGACATCGCTGGTATTAGAGTATAGGATGGTTCTAAAGTTTGATAAAAATCCTTCCGCTGAATTTCGAGTTGTATTCAGACAGACAGACAGACAGACAAACATACATATGGCTCGTATTAGAGTATAGGATATACCTTATTTACCATGTATGCACTAAATAAACTATGTCAAAAAGAAAAGGCGAATAATTGTTAACCTCAACATCAAATATCCCCAGCACCCATCACTTTGTGAAAACCCAAAAGAAAATTAAATTGAATAGTGTGCACTGTGGGAGGTTCGTACAAAATCTTTAAATCTCGAAAAGCTAACTTCAGTAGCTCCATGGATGCAATGTCTACTCATTACTCAGACGATATCCAAATAAATATATCACCATGATCAGAGTTAAACCCCTATAACACAACTCATTTATATTAGATTAACTCATTTATAACTTCCTAATTACTTTCACAATAATATAACTTATACAATGATAAATACAAATGTTGCAACTATTCCCGATTATTGATTTCCTTATTGAGCCAAACTTCAGACTTTATGATTGGCAGTAATTTTACAAAATTAAGTTAAGTGGTTTTGTTTTTAGGTTCAAAATTACTGCTTTTGACCGTCACTGAAGAGTGCTAATAAATTGGTTTGTCTTTATAATGCTGCATTTTCAAATGTTCTAACGTTCTTCAACAATAATTATTTGCTAAAACATAAGTCTACTATTTAAATGCCCTAATTTATAAAAAAAAAAAAAAAAATAGTATCGTATACCCTTTTAAGAATATTTGATTCATTAACAATCTTTTTTTATAATTTGAAAAGTCTATTCACCACTAAGTGTAACTTTTGACTTGTCGAATTGATAGCTAAATTACTTTTCAAATCGAAATGTACATGTTAGAATTAACTGAAATATGAAACATCATTAAATACTGTAAATATAAACAACATTTTTTAACTTCAACTATCAAAATTTATTTAATTCTTACATACCTTGAGTCCAACAAAAATCCATTTTCTTTCTTCACGAGCCTAAACCCTCTACTTAAATAAATTGAAAAGTATTAACTCTACGCAACATATACACTACTCATATTTATCCCATTTTGTCCCATGAATTCCCACTTTTATCACTGAAGTTTATAAATGAGAATACAACATAAAATACGGTACATTGATATCCTTCTTACTCCAAGTGCAACGTATGAATCAACAACTTCAGTTGAATACGTCTTGATGATCGACTAATGTTCATTCTTATCAGTTATCTAGGGGATGTGAAAGACCGTTTGATTATGAGGTCATGGGACAGTGATAAAAAGAGTTTTGAACTCCGCCTCACGTTGCCTCGCAGCCCCGCCCAGATCAAGTTCGGCCCAAATTTGACCAGTCCAGAGATTTTGTGATTACAAATATAAAGATGTAAGTGTCAACTGGTTTAGTGACCTCATTTAACTAACTGTGGTCCATTTAAATGATTATCTGTGACGGTCTTTGAATTGGGAAATGCGTACATGCGTAATATGAGTGAGTCATTTTAGGAAATTAATGGAATTTATTGCTTTGCACCAATATTTTAGGTCGACCATCAACTGTTGGGACTGCAAATAGGGTTACTTTTTCGATTATGGCGTTGATGTCATCTTCAGACAAAGTTTGCTATCTTATTTTTCATACCTTTTGTGTATTATATTTTATAAGGTATGAGTAAACACTTACCTAGGAATAAGGCTGGACTTGGAACAGCCATTTTGCACATGTAACCACAGACAATAGACCAACGCAACGCTCAAAGACCACACTACTTATGATGATGATACGGGCTGTTGGGTTAGCCCGCAAATGACTGACTGGCAATACACTAGGGTTGCAAGATCGATGATGGTGTATGGCTCGGCAGCCTGGTGGACCAAGGCAATGCAAACTACCGCTGTAAAGAGACTACAAAAGAGCCAGCGAGTGGCATGCCTTACAGGAGCCAGAGGCACTTCAACTACAGCCCTGGAAGTAGTGCTAAACCTCCCACCTCTCGACATCATTGTGAAAGGGAGGCAAGAATGGCAGCCTACAGAATGGTTTGCAGCGGCAACTGGAAGTATAATGCTTCCAGTGAACATACAAGGATTGTGGACACAGTGCGTATGGACACCTTGGAAATGTTACCAGACAAGATGGTGAAGATCACAGATCTACAAAAGCCATACAATGCCAATATTTTTGACAGGACTGCCTGGAATAAAGGTGAACCTGAATACATGAAAATGGGGATCACTTGGTATACGGATAGCTCAAAAAACCAACGGGCACTGGGGCGGGAATATATGGAGTCAGACCCAAGTCGCAGTTTTGCGTAGCCTGGGGAAACTGGCCACTATATTCCAGGCATAAGTTGTTGCCCTGTCCGAGTGTGCAAGAGTGTATGAAGCGTGGTATGACAGGCCACACCATATACATGAACTCGGACATCAAAGCAGCACTAATGCCACTTGACAGTTTTGACTTTACCTCTAAGCCAGTATGGTACTGTCATCAGGCCATGAAAGCTCTGGGAGAGAACAACAAGGTTATCCTTAGTTGGGTTCCAGGGCACAAAGGTATTGCTGGCAACGAGGGAGCTGACAAGTGGGCAAACAAAGGAGCTTAAAGCCCGCTAGAGCCGACGTTTGGTATTGCTTACAACACAGCACGGAGAGCTGTTCGCCAGTGGATGGGGGTTGAACATCGAAGGAGCTGGGAAAGAACAGATGGCAACATACAGTCAAAGCAAATGCTGCAGACATCTACCGGTGCGATAGCGGTAAATGCGCCTTGGCTGAATATAGGAAGACCCTGTGGAAGGTGGTTGGCTTCATCAGCGGCCACTGGGTATTCCGCGGACATCTACACAAGATGGGAATTCAAGTTGAAAGCCTCTTGTGTAAGAAATGTGGAGAGGAGGATGAGACAGCCTTTCAGTGATTATGTGCCCAGCCCTACAAGGTCTGCGTTTGAGATCCCTTGGCCTATCAACTGGAAATCAAAGGGAAGAACATGTTACCATACTCAAAAGGATCTCATGGTTCACCAAGAACCTGGTTACGGAGAATGAGAACCTGCGAATGAGGGTGCACAATAAGCTGCTCTAGCTGCGATGCAATCCCATGGTCTACTTATAAGCCTGACCCTCTGTTAAAAAAACAGTTATGAGTTA